TGAAGTTAGAAAGCTAAAGATATGACATTGGAGTTGGGCCGCTAAGGAGTTGCAAGGACGATAAGGGAACCTATAGATAAAGAGAACAGCATGCATAAATACTCAAGGTGGAAAATTCCTAGTGTTTGAGAACAGGGTATGATGGCTACACTGAAGGGGACACAGGGGAATGGCTGCAGGTAAACTGTGGCCATTTTATAAAGAATCTGCTATATTTCCTTAAGGAGGATGGACTATGTGAGTAAAAAATTGAAATCATGTCATTCTCCTTCCCTGCTTTTAAGAAAATTAGATAGTGTAGAAGAGGGAGGAAAGAGTTACTGAAGAGGTCAAATAAGAGATTCTAGGTAGGATTCTAGGCATAGCACCAGTGGTCTTGATGAAATAGGGGTACTGGAGGGATGTGTTGGAGAAACCATCAAGATTTAAAGGCCAAGTGGATCTTTGTGAGAGAGTGAATGTGTATTTATATGCTTGGGAGGTAGAAATCAGAGTGGGCAAGTACAGTCAAGGATGACGTCAGAGCATGTGCTTTAAACATATTACTTTAGAGGTGTAATCATCTGGGAACTATCCACATGGTTATGTCTAATAGGTGTCTAGAAATTGGGCTGTTTTAATTGTAAATTTAAGTCATCAGCACAAGGGAGTGAATAGCCCTGAATGAGTGAGATTACTAGTGGGAGGGGTAGAATCACAGTATGGCTGCAATGAAATCACGGGGGATAATGAGTGGAAGGGGAAGGATCAGAGGCAAAGATGGGGAGAGAGCAGTGTCAGAGAGGCCAATAGAGGAGTTAGTTTCCAAGGCTTCCAGCGGAAGTTGATACGGGGAGAGAAAAATGGGATTCAGAAAAGGATAGAACAGGGATCAGCATTTTTTTTTTTTTTTCTGTAAAGGGCCAGATCATAAATACCTCACGCTTTGCTAGTCTTTAGCTCAGAAGTCATACAAAAACAACAGTAGCTTGCCAACCCCTAGGTTAAAGATATATCAAGATCCTAAGTGTTCAAAGCCAAGCTATGCTTTAGAGTTTCTACTGGAAATGGATCCAATGTCAATAAACTACTTTGTCTAGACCTATGGGTATCCTGCAGTTAGGAAGAGGCTGAAGACTGAAAAACTGCTGCCAGGAAAATTAAGGATGCTAGTAAGAGTATAAAAATGATTGTATATAGGAAAGGATGTCAAATGAGGAGGAGTCTTGAGACTGGGAGAATAGGGGTAAGAGAAGCATTCTTATAGTCATACCACAGTAAGACTCATGGTTTTTGTTTTTGTTTTTGAGATGGAGTCTTGCTCTGTCATCCAGGCTGGAGTGCAGTGGTGTGATCTCAGCTCACTGCAAGCTCTGTCTCCCAAGTAGCTGGGACTACAGGCACCCGCCACCACACCCAGCTAATTTTTTGTATTTTTAGTAGAGATGGGGGTTTACCATGTTAGCCAGGATGGTCTCAACCTCCTGACCTCGTGATCTGCCCACCTCGGCCTCTCAAAGTGCTAAGATTACAGGCTTGAGCCACCGAGCCCGGCCCACAGTAAGACTCCTAATAGTTTTCTTTTTTTTTTTTTTTTGAGATGGAATCTCTCTGTCACCCAGGCTGGAGTACAGTGATGTGATCTCAGCTCACTGCAACCTCTGCCTCCCAGATTCAAGTGCTTCTCCCGCCTCAGCCTCCCGAGTAGCTGGGATTACAGGTGCCCTCAGCAACTGACTGACTTTTTTTTTTTTTTTTTTTGAGACGGAGTCTCGCTCTGTCTTGCTTAGGCTGGAGTGCAGTGGTGTGATCTCAGGTCACTGCAGCCTCTGCCTCACAGGTTCAAGTGATTCTCCTGTCTCAGCCTCCCGAGTAGCTGGGATTACAGGGGCCCACCACCATACCTGGCTAATTTTTTGTATTTTTAGTTGAGATGGGGTTTTACCATGTTGGACAGGCTGGTCTTGAACTCCTGACCTTTAGGTGATCCACCCGCTTCGGCCTCCCAAAGTGCTGGGATTACAGGCATGAGCCACCGTGCTAGGCCAAAGTGCTGGAATTTACAGGCATGAGCCACCATGCCCGGCCAGTTTTCTTCAACTTATTTCCCCACCTAATTTTTTTTTTGCCTTGGTTTTGGAAATAAAGATGACCTCTCTCAATTACTACTGCAATTCCACATGATCACTACGATGATACTAAACTTTCAGAAATATGTTTAAAACTAGGGTTTTTTTAAAGCCTTCTTTTTTTCTGACTTTAGTGAGCATCAGAATAAGCCTCATTTCTTTACAGCAAGGTTTCTCAACCTTGTTACTAATGACATTTTGAGTCTGGTAATTGTTATTAGGGGAGACAGGGAACTGTCCTGTGAACTATAGGATCTTTAGTAGAATCCTTGGTCACTAATCACTAGATGCTAGTAGTAAACCTGGCCATCACCTCCCCCTCCATGTGACAACCCAAAATGTCTTCACACATTGCTATACCCCCAAAGGGCAAAAATTACCTAGTTGAGAATCACTGCATTATAGATGATTGCCTGGTTTCCCTTAAAATATATCACCACTTGAAACAAAAATGAGGTTGGCTGCCTCAGAATATTTCCAGATATATTCAAACAAGATTTGGGTTAAAAAATCTGGGATGTCAAACTTTAGTACCTCATCAGGCCAGGCGCGATGGCTAACATGGGTAATCCCAGCACTTTTGGGAGGCCACAGTGGGAGGATCACTTGAGCCTGGGAATTAGAGACCAGTCTGGGCAACACAGTGAGGCCTTGTGTCTGTAGTCCCAGCTACTGGGGAAGCTGAAGTGGGAGGATCACTTGAGCCCCAGAGGCTGAGGTTGCAGTGAAGGGAAATTATGCCATTGCACTCCAGCCTGGGCCACAGAGCAAGACCCTGTCTCAAACAAACAAACAAAAAAACCCCACAAAGTACCTCCATCAAACTCCATGTCAAGTCAGACCACAAATCTTTTATCTGGCATTATAGGCGGGAAAAAAACCCCACACTTCTCCTTTAAGACTTAGATCCCATTTCATGAAATAATCTCCCTAGTAACAAAGAGAATGGTTGGGACTATACACAACTGACTAAAATGGTGTTGAGTACTCGAGGTACAGAGGCTCTTGTCTGTAATCTCAGCACTTTGGGAGGCTAATGCAGAAGGATCACTTGAGCCAAGGAGTAAACCAGCCTGGGGAACAATGCTAGATCCTGTCTCTGCAAAAAAAATTTTAAATTAGCCAGGCAGGATGGTGTGTGCCTGTAGTCCCAGCTACAAGGGAGGCTGAGGCAGGATGATCACTTGAGCCCAGGAGTTCAAGGATGGATCAGGCCACCACACTCCAGCCTGGGCAACAGAGCAAGACTGTCTTAACCAAATGAAATGGTGTGAGTACTGGTAGGAGAGGACCTAAAGAAGAGGAAGACAAGTGCCTTATACTGGATTGTCCTTGGTCTAGTGTTACCATTGCTCTCAATGCTATTAATGCTCCAATTAGTTTAGAAGTGTTAAATTAAGTGAAAGTAACATTAGAATGCATGAATAAAATTGACTATTATGTGACTCAGAAATCACTTGTCAAAATGGTGGTGTTCAACAATGAGGAACAAAACCAGATTTCATAGATATAAAACATAAAGGCTGGGCTGGGCACAGTGGCTCATACCTGTAATCCCAGCACTTTGGGAGGCCAAGGCGGGTGGATCACGAGGTCAGGAGATTGAGACCATCCTGGCTAACACGGTGAAATCCCATCTCTACTAAAAATACAAAAACTAGGCCGGGCGCGGTGGCTCAAGCCTGTAATCCCAGCACTTTGGGAGGCCGAGACGGGTGGATCATGAGGTCAGGAGATCGAGACCATCCTGCCTAACATGGTGAAACCCCATCTCTACTAAAAATACAAAAACTTAGCTGGGCATGGTAGTAGGCACCTGTAGTCCAAGCTACTAGGGAGGTTGAGGCAAGAGAATGGCATGAACCCGGGAGGTGGAGCTTGCAGTGAGCTGAGATTGCACCACTGCACTCCAGCCTGGTCAACAGAGTGAGACTGTCTCAAAAAAAAAGAAAGGCCAGGTGCGGTAGCTCACACCTGTAATCCCAGTACTTTGGGAGGCCGAGGTGGGCAGATCACTTGAGGCCAGGAGTTCAAGACCAGCCTGGACAACATGGCAAACGCCCAGCTCTACTAAAAATATAAAAATGAGCCAGGTGTGGTGGTGCACACCTGTAATTCCAGCTACTGAAATTACTGGGAGGCTGAGGTGTCAAGATCGCTGGAACCTAGGACATGGAGGTTGCAGTGAGCTGAGATTGTGCCACTGCACTCCAGCCTGGGCAACAGAATGAGATTCTGTCTCAGGAAATAAAATAAAATGAAATGGAAAATGAGTATTTGTATGATAGCAAATAAAGATCTAGGTTTCAGAAACTATAACCTTGATAAATTGATGTTCTTTTGGACAAAAACATTTTAAAAATTAAAAAAATATAGATAAACTATAACGTAATTATCAGCCCTGGATCAAAAGTGAACATGATACTGGCTTATAGTATCAGGAACATGAAAAACAAAGATGCTCAAAATTAACCTGCAAAAAGAGACACTGATAAATTTTTTTTTAAAAAGTGGATATATACTGGGAGACACTAAGGGTCCTTAATATAACCAAAGGGACAGAAAAATGGGACCTAGGAAGTTGGACAATTGAGGAAGATAATCAAAGCAGGTTAAGAATTCACTATGAATAAAAATCCTGACCAACTGGTCTCTCCAAAGAGGAGTCATGGTTATACTTCAGCAACTGAGAGAACAGATCACAAGAGTGATGTACACCAGAGATCATACTGTGATCTATATATCTGAAGACACTTGAGGTGACATTCTAGTGGTCAACAATAGACTACAGTACTGCAAGTTGCTGCAACTGTCAACTGGTACTCCCCTTGGTGACAACAGGGAGAAAATTGCTTTTAAAAACATAACTGCCAAAGCACCAACAATCAAAGTAATGAATGACAACTTTATTTTTCTTACACTTTTAAGGCTGATGAAAAACCTTCATTTCAATCGAAAAGTATGGTAACTGTATTTACTCATTAAATATTATTAAAGTTTTCTAAAACACAACTTGAAAACATCCAGCATGCATGTTTAATATCAGTACAATGACTTCAAGACCAAGTATACATGTTACATGCAGCAAAGCTAGATTACAAATTATCATAGTCATCGTCATCATCATCGTCATCATCATCATCTTCACGTTTTCTTTTCAATGCATTTGATGATTCATTGGCAGTATTTTGTGATGACACCATATTAGTGGTAATAAGAATGTTTTTGGACCCAATTAATGATGGATTAATCAAAACATTCTGAACTGCTGAGGTTGCAGGAATTGAAGCTTTTACAGCTGGAGACTGTGAAGTAGGCATCTGCACTGTAAACCTTTGACCTGTGAGGGACATAGGAGTCCCTACTTTAGTTGAAACAGACATGGTCTGTGGGGTTGGTGTGCCTAGTGTGGGAGTACTTGGTCTGCTAGTAACTGAACCAACACTTAACCGCGGGACTGTTATTCTTCCCGCAGAAGTTGATGCCTTTTTCTGTAAAGATTTCAGCCTATAGTTTGGAGCTGTTAAGCAATATCTATCAGGCGGCAACCTAGGACCTGAATATGGCTTGATCAGTGGCAAAGGGGTTTGATTTCTTTGCCTTGCGATATCTAATAAAAAATCTCTTGGGGGAGGAGAGGTAAAAGACTGGTCAGCGCGGCACTGGATTGCCAATCGCACATCATCTGCATCAACAGTAGCTTTCTTAGCATGGCTTGAATAAATTTTTGCATCATCTAGAATTGTGGTCACATATCGGAAGGCAAACTCCAACATCTGATTTATAACTCTTGGCTCATATTCTGTAATCCCCATATCCTTCAGGATTTGTGCCATCATCTGTGCATCTTTCGGCATGCTCTTGGGAGAAGCCATCTTGCCAGACTCCATGATATCCGATGATCAGACTTTAGATCATTTGAAAAAAATATGTACATTAGATCAATCTGAAATAGTTACTTTAGTAGCAACTGTCAGGAACTTAAAAAAATTTTTAATCTATGTTAAACTGTAAAAAAATTTTTAAAATTTAAACCATATGTTTTCTTAATTTTAATGAGGCATACTTAAAGTCCCTTTAATTTATTGAGTTCCTACCATGTACAAATCATTGTCAACTATAAAAAGATGAAGACACAAATAAGGGAGTGATAAAAGATTAGGGGAAAACAGGGTAAAATAAATAAAAACATCTATCATCTTAGAATATATGCAGTTGCATGCAAACCTCACACTAAGATACCATAGCATAGTCATGTCCCACACCTGAGCTCAAAACAATCTCTTTCCAGTGAGACCTATACACTCACTGTGCTCATATATATGTTCAGCAGTAGCAAACCTTTGTTTGCTCAACTTGAAAACATTCTCCTTATTCACATTCTACCTCTCCGAAATCCAGTCTCTTCATAGGAGCCTTCCCAACTATTCACAAGAATTGCTAGCCATTTTCAAGGCGGAAGGGAAAGTGCTCAAAATAACCAGGACATAGCATTAGATACTTAATATTTCTGTGGATTCCCTAAAAGAATATATGTTCTTTAATGGCAATCTCTGTTTTTTGTACCTTCTGACAATACCCAGCACTAACACTCCACTATCAGACTTAAAACAAAACAAAACAAAACAAATCTAACACCAAAGTGTCCCTTACCTTCTCGAGCTAAATCACCAACATTAATGTATTTCAGTCCCGATTTTGACGCAAGTTCTTTGCCTAGTGTAGTTTTTCCAACCCCTGGTGTACCTGTAAGACAAGCCACAGAAAAATACTGTTTGTGAAATACTACTTATCACACTGCAGCCCACCTTGTGCCCTTCCTTTTTTTATTTTTGGGGCAGAGTCTCACCTGGCCTCTGCCCTTAAAGATCTTGACGACTGAAATGAAAAATTTCCTAATTAGCAATAACACGTAAAAAAAATTTTTTTTTTGAGACGGAATTTCGCTCTTGTCACCCAGGCTGGAGTGCAGTGGTGCGATCTTGGCTCACTGCAATCTCCACCTCCCAGGATCAAGCGAGTCTCCTGCCTCAGTCTCCTGAGTAGCTGGAATTACAGGTGCCCGCCACCATGCCCAGCTAATTTTTGTATTTTTAGTAGAGACGGGGTTTCACCATATTGGCCAGGCTGGTCTCAAACTCCTAACCTCACGTCATCTGCCCGCCTAGGCCTCCTAAAGTGCTGGGATTAGAGGCGTGAGCCACCATGCCTGGCCATACGTAAATCAGCACGTACTACGATCTAATAAAAATTTTCCAAAGCTAATTGAATGTCAGAATATTACCCAGTGTATTGATTCTCCAGGGGTGGGGCTCAGCAAATTCTGACGCCAATTCAAACTGCCTGCTGCTACCATGGAACTACTCAGAATAAAATTAGCCACCTCGTGCTGGGCGCAGTGGCTCATGCCTGTAATCACTGCACTTTGGGAGGCCAAGACGGGAATATCATGAGGTCGGGAGATCGAGACCATCCTGGCCGACATAGTGAAACTCCATCTCTACGAAAATACAAAAATTAGGAGAAAGGCCCACCTGTGTCCTGTTTGAAGGTCTTCAGGGTTCTTTGGGGCCCGAGGTGCCAATGGGTCATGTTTGGTTAGAAGGTGATAAATCTACAGAATTCTACAGATTCCAGATACTATGGACCTATTCCATATGGACTAATAAGAGGACGAATCTTCTTTAAGATTTGGCCTCTGAGTGATTTTGGATTTTTATGTGCCAGCCCTAATGGCCACAGATTTTCTGATGATTAGTAATCATTTATTCTTTTGACTTGATTATTGTCTCCTTTTCATGTGAATTTATTACTCCCGTTGAAACCATGTACTAATAAACTATTTGCTATTCAAAAAAAAAAAAAAAGAAAATACAAAAATTAGCCAGGCGTGGTGGCGCATGCCAGTAATCCCAGCTACTCAGGAGGCTGAGGCAGGAGAATCCCTTGAACCAGGTGGTTGGAGGATGCAGTGAGCCGAGGACACGCCACAGCACTGCAGCATGGCGACAGAGACTCCGTCTCCAAAAAAAAAAAAAATTAGCCACCTTGAATCAATTTATTTACCTTTTTCTTCTTTTAAAGTCAAGATATCTCTTCGTTACCCAGGCTGGAGTGCTGTGGAACTTGGCTCACTGGAGCCTCCAACTCCTGGGCTCAAGAAATCCTATCTCAGCCTGTCCAGTAGCTAGGACCACAGGTATGCACCAACATGCCCTGGTTAATTTTTGTAGAGACGGGATTTGGCTATATTGCCTAAGCTAAGCTCTAACTCCTGAGCTCAAGCCATCCCCCCACCTCCACTTCCCAAAGTGCTGGGATTTACGGGCATGAGCCTGTAAATGCTTTAATTTACAGGCTCGTTTGCTTGGCCTATTTGCTTTAATTTAAAAAGATTTAAAAACTGTTCATGGCCAGGGGTGGTGGCTCACACGTGTAATCCCAACAATTTGGGAGGACAAGGCGGGAGGATCACTTAAGCTCAGGAGTTTGACACCAGCCTCGCCAACATAATGAGACTGTCTCAAACAAAAACAAAAACAAAAACAAAAACTGTTCATGTTAAAATTTAAGCAGTCTGAAAGACACCGTATTACCTCTACTGACCCCTTGCACCCTTCCCTAGAGATAACCACTGTAAACCAGTTTCCTATACAGGTATATATTCCCAAAAAAACCCCTATTTATGTTTGCATATAAATGTACATGTATGTATGTACATACTCTTTGTAATAAATACAATATATATTCCCTTGTACATAAATGACAATACTATATACATTGTTCTTTACCTTCCTCTTCTGATACCTATTATAATTACATTTCAAGATCATCAAATTCATAATTTTCAGCTATTCAGGTTTAACATCCCTGAAATTAAACTTGAACATAAAGATAACAGGGATAATCCAGTTCCCATATCTAGGAGAATAACAGTCACCCCAAGTCCACTATAATACACCAAGTCTGAAGTCTGGACTCAACATGTTTTCAATAAAATGCTCACATTTTATTGTCAAAACATTTTCAATAAAATGTTTTGACAATGACTTAATAACCAGGGCACTATGTTTGATCCATACAAAAAGATGTAAAATCTTCCGCTTAAGGAATCTAAAATGCTAAACATTATTTGTGGGGTGGTTAATTTGCATCTCTCAGAAACAGACATGTCTTGTGCGCTGCCAACAATCTTACGTTTGGGTGAATGATGTAACTGTACTGTTTCCACAGAATCTTAATTTTTCTGTACGCTGCAATAAAATCTACATGCATTAGATTTTTCCACGAATGGCCTACAATTTAATAAACACTTTCAGGACTGAACGGCTAGCAAAAATATTCGTTGAAGTCGTTATGCAGCATTTTAGTTCCCTTTACTGATAACACGCACCCTGAGTATGGCTTCAAAGACCCACTCCTACGCGAGAAACGACCCGAAATGCTCACTAGATGCCTTCCTTTTAAGGGGCGGGGGGAGCCTCTGATGTAACTCAACAAAAGCATACAGTAATTTCGTCACGCCACAAACATCTGAACTCATTTACCGAAATCTAATCTGAGGCGTTTATCAGAAGCAAAGGAAAAAATAAAATACGGCCCACGGAGGCCTAAGGAGTGAGGAATCCACCATTAATGGCACTACCGGGAAGCAGATATGGCCTTATTTCCCTGAAAATTTCAAAGCCTACCCTGCCAAAGAATTAACAATCCATTTTACAAACGAAATACCAGATTCCGAAAGACTAAGCAGGTTGCTAAGCAGAAGAGCTGGATCTGCCGACCTCTCTTCACCTCCCCCGGGAGCCTCCGACCAACGGAAATAACGTTCCGCGTCCCCTCCCCCGCCTGCCGCAAGGCCCGTGAGGGTCGGCTCCCGGGACGCTGACAACCGCCTCGTGGCCCTCTGCCGGCCTCCGAAGACGGCACTGAGAAACTCCTACCTGGGCGCCCGATGCCCAGAACACTCCGCGCCCCTCACCTGCCCCCGCCCAGCCCCTCCCGGCCGCGCGCCCTGACCGGTGAGCAGGATGTTCGGAAGCAACATGGTCCCCGCGGCGAGGGCTCCGGGCGCCTAGGTCACGTGCCCTTTGCTCTACGGGGAGGAGCCGGAAGGGGCGGGCGGCAGCAAAAGCCCACGGCCCCAAGGGCCTCGAGGCCCACCGCGGCGCCCCTAGCCTGTCCCTGCGACCCAGCCGGGGCCCACTGGTTACCTGGCTTTCGATGACACATTTCCATCGCAAAGTTGGAGGGTGGGCGTAACTCGGGTCGGTACTTCGGGTCAGGCAGTGCGCTGGATGTCTAAGTAACACACTCCTTCGGAGGTCCCCGCCCTTCGCTTGCGTCGCTGATGCGCCGACCAGTCTGGAAGGTCCCCGGGAGGCCGTACCTCCGAGAGGCTCGGCGTTGAGCCCGGGTAGGGCCAGGTGGCTGCCCTTTCACGTAGGTTAGACCCTGGTCGCCTCAGCTCTTTGCCCAAAAGGGGATGCAACTCCGGGAAAGTAAGGCCGCCGCGGTTGCGGCTATATTATGTGTATGTCTTAGAGACGCGAGTCTATCTCTGCCTTCGAGCTTTCCTGGGCTCGCGTCGCTCCTCCTCCCGACCCGCCCATCCCATCTGGGGATGAGAAGATTGAGGGTGCAAAGCCCTGTCCTGCAGCGGGGATTTGCGAGCTCAACCCGGCACCCCACTGATTATAGGATTACGTTGAACGAATATTTGAGCTTGGTATACCCTGTTCACTGTGTGGGGTGGTGGTGGGTCGGCTAGGAATAGTCTTGAAGGTCTGCCTCTGACATCTCATTTCAGGAACCTGGCATCTTCAGGGACAGTTACTTGCTTTTTAAAGGAGGTAATTGTCAGTCTTGTTTTCAAGGGTGAATAGAGCCCTGACCGGGGCCGTGGCTTTTTTTTCTTTTGGGGGGGGGGGGTGCGGAGTCTCACTCTTGTCGCCCAGGCTGGAGTGTAACCTCCGCCTCCCGGGTTCAAGTGATTCTCCTGCCTTAGCCTCCGGCAGGGCTGGGATTACAGGCGCCCACCACCACGCCCGGCTAATTTTTGCATTTTTAGTAGAGATGGGGTTTCACCATGTTAACTCCTGACCTCAGGTGATCCTCCCGCCGTGGCCTCCCACAGTGCTGGGATTACAGGCGTGAGCCACCGCGCCGGGCCCCTGGTCTGCATCTTTTATTTTGAGCTGCAAACTATATTTACTCAAATAGGTGTTTTTTTTCCACTTGTGTACCTGTTGAAACGTCACAGTCTCTAATCGTGAACGATTTGGGGCGGAGGGCTGAACAATGTGTTTTCTAGTGTGTCGGGGTGCTTATAGGCTATGTGTGCCTCCAAACTGTAAAATAGTCCGGCATACTTTCCGGTGTATAAGTTTGTAGGCCTTAAAATTTTCTTCTGGCTAACTTAAAATTGTTGAATTCACTAGTTTTGCATAAACGTTTAAGCATTTGAAAACACGGTTGAAAACCACAGTGTTACCAAGAAATGTTCTAATAACGTGTTCAAATGAAAACAAAAATTTTACAGTAAGACTTAAATTCTTCGTCCACAGCAAGTGAATTCATGGTATTTTACTTTTTTGGGAAATATTGGAAATGAAGAACTGCAACTGTAATTTGAAATTAGGAAAACTTTAATTTTCAGTATAAAAATTGCTCAAATAAAATTGCCTAATTTTAATGACAAAAGGTAAGTACATAGTATGTGTGGTTTTTTTCTGTTTTTCCTCTGATACATCATTGAGTTCATGTGAAAAACTCCGATAGTAACACCACAAGTAGATTATTTGATACAGTTATAGTCATTAAAAGTAAAATTATTTTAGAATTTTGATTTCTTGTATCACTTAAATTTACTGTTCCTTTTCACTAGTTCTTGAGCCTTTATTGTGTTGTTGATTATATCAGTATACATTTATTACTATAATTCTGCAATTACAGTTTTTCTTCATTTGAGGGCTTCTTTTTTCCCCCCCTAGGTGAATTATAGTTTAATGTACTACAGGTCCTGAACTACGGATGGGAACTATTACAGTTTATAATGTCAAAAACTTTTCTTAGACCAAAGGTATCTTCCACAAAGGTATGATACACTAGAATGGCCATGTAATAATTGCCTTAAAATAATTATAAATTTTTATACATATTCTTAATAACTTATTACTGCTATCAAAGTAATAGAGCCCAGTATCTATTGTAATTAATGATTTCAGCAAGTCTGGTAATAAGTTGTGAAACAAATGTTCTCTAAAAGTACAACCTTAATTTTGAAAAAGTGTTTTACAGTCCCAGTCACAAAGGCTGAAAATATTTGAATGGAAGAACATAGAAGAGAGAAATAAGAGTGGTAGTTGGTGTTATAGCTTGACCAAAAGCCCTACTTCTTAGAAGTAATGTGATTCAGTGTGTCAGTTCTCAGCAAGATAGGGGTTAAAGTGAGATGGGGGTCAGACAGTTTCGTGCATGCAGGGTAGCTATTTCCCTAAGTGGTGGCTCTAAATTTTCTTTGATGTTAAGTAAATTACTTAACTTTGCTGTTTATCTTTCTCTTTTTTCTAGTATATGGGAGTCCACATTTATGTAAGAAATGAAACTATAAAATGTATAAATAATTTGCAAATCAGAATTGCTGTCGAAAGGTTTATAATGAAAGATATTTTCATACACTCAAAAATATAGAGGAAAGGGGCCAAAATTATAGTACCAGTCACAATCTTTTGATGAGGACGAAATGAATCAGGTAGCTATGACTGAAATTTTTTCCAGTGGTCTTCCTTTTTTAATCCACTGCCAATAATATTCCTAACTCTCTGTCTTAAAAGAAGAGTGAAGTGTGACTTAGCATTTTTAAAGTATTTGTAAGCCCTAAATTACCTCCTCTAAGCCTACTTTCAGCTCCAACTTCTGGTTCGTTTTCTTCAAGAGAGGAACATTGTCTAATTGGTAGCTCACAACTATGGCTGAGTATTCTTGAAGGAAAACATAACTTGGTTTCTTTTTGTTAGCCAGGCAGTAGATTCTACAACCAGATCTGAAGCTATGTTTTTCTAGATTAATGCCATTAGAGTGTTAAAAAATCTGGTAAAACTTTCTAATTTCTAATTATTTGTAATAATTAACTAATAATTTCTAAATTTTAGCAAGAAAAAAAAAAACAGGGTCTCACTCTGTTGCCCAGGCTGGAGTGCAGTGGGGTGACCATGGTTCACTGCAACCTTGACCTCCCAGGCTCAAGTGATTCTCCCACCTTAGCCCCCCAAGTAGCTGGGAATACAGGTGTGCGCCACCATGCCTGGCTAATTTTTTATTTTTTGTAGGGTTGGGGTCTCCCTGTGTTATGCTAGCTGTTCTCAAACTCCTGGGCTCAGCAATCCTACTGCTTCTATCTCTGAATATGCTGGAATTATAAGTGTGAATCACTACACCCAACCATTACTAGGCGTTTCTGAGTGACAGTTCCCCCGTGAAAAGCCTGTCTCAATTATAAAAATATTAGTTGCTTCTTGCACTGAAGAAAAATATAATCCAGTCATAATTACAGATTGCAACGTTATGATCCTTGGTCTATATCTTCACTAAGTCTTAAAGCTGATATGGATTATTTGGATATATGAAATGGTTCTTAGTTTGTGAATGTATTAACCTGGCCAAGGCAGATGTGTTACTCTTATTGCTATTTCTGTTAAAATATTATTTTTTTCTTTTGTTTTGCTTTTTTTAATAGGTAATTTTAATATTTATGTTTCAATCCTACAGAGAGTTAAAAAAAATCATTCTAGTCTTTATGCTGGGAAGATTACAATTAATAAAAATAAGTTTGTGTTCTTTACTCCTTTAAGGTCAAGTAGACAAGTATGCACTTGCACTTACTGTAAAGTAGAAAAACAACTATTACAGAGAGAGTTTTATTTAAAAAGAGTTAATTTGTAAGATTTTTAGGCCGGGTGTCTTGGCTCATACCTGTAATCCCAGCTCTTTGGGAGGCTGAGGTGAGAGGATCGCTTGAGCCCACGAATTGTTTGAGACCAGCCTGGGCAACATGGCAAAAACCCATCTCTACGAAAAGTACAAAAAAATAGTTGGGCATGGTGGTGCATGCCTATAGTCCCAGTTACTCAAGAGGCTGAGGCTGGAGGATTGCTTGAGCTGAGATTGTACCACTGCACTCCAGCCTGGGCGACAAAGCGAGACCCTGTCTCAAAAAAAAATTTTTTTTTTTTTAGTTTTAAAGGTTATAAATTTATGAGTATGCTGTTTCCAGAGTAGTTCAGTTATTTGGGGGAATAGATGGGAGAAAATGTGATTATATTTACATGATTTCTTTTTTTTTTTCAGGTAACAGACTGGGTCGACCCATCATTTGATGATTTTCTAGAGTGTAGAGACATCTCTACTATTACTGCCACATCATTAGGTGTGAATAACTCAAGTCATAGAAGAAAAAATGGACCTTCTACATTAGAAAGTAGTAAATTTCCAGCGAGAAAAAGAGGAAATCTGTCTTCCTTAGAACAGATTTATGGTTTAGAAAATTCAAAAGAATCTCTGTCTGAAAATGAACCATGGGTGGATAAATATAAACCAGAAACTCAGGTACTGAAAAGCATGCAGACATGTCTACATAATTTAATTTCAGGGTGCATAAGGGTGGATGGGAAGCAGAGAGATGTACATTTTCAGATTTTTTACTCATAAGAATCTTTCTAAGGGTTAGAAAAAATTCTGGATTTTTTTATTTTCCAAGGCTCAGATTTTTCTTAATAGTTACTCTAAAGTTGTATTATTAGTTATCTTAGATTTAATTTAATCCCAACATAGAATTGATCTTTTTAAAAGTTTTTGTACTAAATGTAATACTCCTCTCTACTGTCTTCTCAAAATGTATTTCTGAATTTTAAAAAATGTTATAACAACAAACTTGCCAAAATTATCATACAGAGTTATCAACTTAAGAATATAATTTTTCCGTAATAGTATAAAAATTCAAGTATAATCAAAAGGACCATTTTATTATATAGATTGTTACTGATTTGCTACTTCTTTTCGTTAATAATGCTTAGGTTCATATGTGCTGATGTACCAAAAAAATCTTCAGTTAAGAAGTTTTGTTTTAAATTTGAAATTTTTGTTGTAGCATGAACTTGCTGTGCATAAAAAGAAAATTGAAGAAGTTGAAACCTGGTTAAAAGCTCAAGTCTTAGAAAGGCAACCAAAACAGGTAAGAAATGTGTTTTTAAATATTTAACATCAAATATTTTTCTTACAGTGTGTTGTTAGAAGTTAAAGTTTTATGATGATTTTGCTCAGAACAAGTCTAGATCTCCTCCAGTGGAAAGCTCCCTATTGGGGCGTGGTGACTCATGCCTGTAATCCCGGCACTTTGGGAGGCCAAGGCGGGAGGATCACTTGAGCCCAGGAGTTCAAGAGCAGCCTGGGCAACATAGGGAGACTCTGTCTCTACAGCTAATTAGCTGGGCATTGTGCATGCCACTGGTCTCAGCTACCTGGGAGGCTGAGGTGGGAGGATCGCCTGAGCCCAGGAAGTGGAAGCTGCAGTGAGCTGTGATCACACTAGTACACTCTAGCCTGGGCAACAGAGCAATACCAAAAACCGTAAAAAAACAAAACAAAACAAAAAACGAAAAAAAAAGCTTCCTGACTTTACTACTTCCACCTTGACTAAAAGACTCAGAGATTTTGAATTTTCCCCTTTATTTGTAACTCTTTTTCTTTATGTCTTATTGTTAGCATAAAGAATCAGTAAACCAATTAGGGTACTAGTGTATTTAGCACATCAGATTATCTCAGGCTGAGGAAAGCAGGCAAATTACATATTAGTTTCTCTACTAAATATAGCCCAAAACAGTCATTATTTATTTTAGACTGATTTTTTTGTTTCACTTCCTTACTGTACAATTACCCTGAACCTCCAAGGTAAAATATTCTCTCCTTCCATCAATCTCTCTCTTTTTTTTTTTTTTTTTTGAGACGGAGTCTCACTCTGTCGCCCAGGCTGGACTGCAGTGGCCGGATCTCAGCTCACTGCAAGCTCCGCCTCCCGGGTTCACGCCATTCTCCTGCCTCAGCCTCCCGAGTAGCTGGGACTACAGGCGCCCTCCACCTCGCCCGGCTAGTTTTTTGTGTTTTTTAGTAGAGACGGGGTTTCACCATGTTAGCCAGGATGGTCTCGATCTGCTGACCTTGTGATCCGCCCGTCTCAGCCTCCCAAAGTGCTGGGATTACAGGCTTGAGCCACCGCGCCCGGCCCAATCTCTCTTTTTAAATGTTTTTATTTTGAGATTTTTCAAGCATAAAAGAAAATAGAATAATAAAAATATTCATATATACAGAATATAGTCATTCTTTCCCACTTAAGTATTTTAAAGTAAATTATAAACATTGTGACATTTCAGTTAGACTTTTAGAGACTTCAGTATGTCTCTGTGTTTTAAAAAAAAAAAATTATTTTCCTAATTAATTATGCATACCGTTATTCTCTCTAACAAAATTAACCAGGATGCCCTAATGCTATCTAATGATCAATTCATATTCACGTTTCTGCATTTGTCCCCAAAATGTCTTGTAGCTGGTTTGTTTCAAACAGGTTGTAATCAAGGATCAAACCTTGCGTTTGGTTGTTATATCTCTTAGGCCTTTTTTTCCCCCCTGAATCTAGTAATAGTTTACTAACCCTTTCTTTTTCTCCAAGGCACTGACTTATGAAGGAGACCAGGCCGGTTGACTTGTGGAAGTCTCACGCTGCATTTGTTAGGTTGTTTCCTCCTAATGATGATTAACTTGTTCTTCTATCCTGCATGTCCTATAACCTGAAATTTTGAATCAAGGGCTTGATTAGACTCAAGTTGAATATTTTTGGAAGAATAAAGGTCATGGTGTATGTTGTATAGTGTGTCAAGTTGGAAAGTATTTGTGGTTCTCCTGCTGTCTTAAGTTTGGTCACTAGATTGAAGAGGTGACCGTCAAAAATCTTCATTGTAGAGTAACTTTCCCTCACAACTGGCACATAATCCATGGGGAGATATTGTGGCAGCATGTGAATGCCCAGTTCTCCATCAGTCGTGTACCTAAGTGCTGTAGCTTCAATTTTCAACCCTTGCCTGAATCACTTATTTTATTAGAGTTTTAAAACAGTGACTTTCTTGTAGTTCTGTTATTTCTACAGTTATTACTGACATTTTTCTACAAAGAAAAGTTTGCCATCACTAGCTAGGGTTGTTTAGTTACCTTGAAATACATTTCCAACTAGAAAGGTAGGATGAGTTTTATATCTTTTTCTTTTTTAAAAAATAGGCTTTTATTTTTGGAGCAGTTTTAGGTTCACACCAAATTGAGTAGAAGGTACAGAGATATCCCACATATGCCCTGCCCCGGCACATGCATAGCCTTCTCCCTTTACTAACCTTCCCCTACCAGAGTAGTACATTGGTTAAAATTGATGAACCTACATTGACACATCACTAATACCTAGAGTCCGTTGTTTACGTTAGGTTTTTCCTTTAGTTTTCAACCTTGAGATGAAGGAGTTGGTGTTTTAGTTACTTTGATGGTAACAGATCCTTCTCTTTCTTTTTTTTTTTTTTTTGAGACAGAGTCTCGCTTTGTCGCACAGGCTGGAGTGCAGTGGCGTGATCTTGACTCACTGCAGCCTGTGCCTCCTGGGTTCAAGCGTTTCTCCTACCTCAGCCTTCGGAGTAGCTGGAATTACAGGTGTGCACCACCACACCCACCTAATTTTTGCATTTTTAATAGAGACAGGGTTTCACCATGTTGGCCAGGCTGGTCTCAAACTTCTGACCTCAGGTGATCTACCTACCTTGGCTTCCCTAAGTGTTGGGGTTGCAGGCGTAAGTCATCACACCCAGCCGATCCTTCTCTCTTGAACCAAGCTCCTTTCTCTCTGGCCTGTGGATCTAAACCTTTTGGTTTAGAGCTAAGATCATGAATTCAAGATGGATTTTAAGTGTCAGCATTGGTATTCCTCTGATTCATAGAAATCTCATCTCTCTTCTCCGAATACAGATTTTTGGGCAGTCTGTCTGACACACCTCTTACGTCCAAGCTTTTCCTCATTGATTTGTTTTTGGTCAGCTCAGCTAATAGTTTTTATTTTTCAGTGTCCATTGTGTTTTCTCACTTAGCAATACTCTGTCAGTATAAACATTATCATGTCATAAACCTACGTTGGTGTTACTATTACTATTCTACCAGTTGGTGTTACTATTACTATTCTACCAGTTGGATAAACTTACGTACATATATGTGTGTGTGTGTGTGTGTGTGTATATATATGTATTGGGAAAAGTATTTTATGGTTTCAAAAGTTTTCCCCCTAAGGAGTTGGAGTTTAATCATATACTCTATTTATTTGTTTATTTAACTTTTTAGACACAGGGTCTTGCTAAAGACAGTTGCCTATACTGGATTGCAGAGGTGCTGTCATAGCTCACTGCAGCCTTGAACTCCTGGGCTCAAGCAGTCCTCCCACCTCAGCTTCCCGAGTAGCTGGGGACTACAAGCGTGTGCCACCACATCTGGCTAATTTTTAAAAACAATTTTGTAGAGATGGGGTCTTACGGTGTTGCCCATGCTGGTCTTGAATTCCTGGCCTCCAGTAGACCTCCCACCTTGGCATCCCACAGTGCCAGAATTAATAGGCATGAGCCACACCATGCCTGGCCCAAATCACTTACCCTTTATTTTACAGAAGTTTCAGTGATGTCAGTAATTAGAAAACGGTTTTGTTCAAAAAAATTGGGAAGATCTAGATTTATCAATGGGCAAACTAAATTTACTTTTCAAAATTTATTTTAAGTACAATATACCAAATATTTGCAGCGTTTAATTTTTCAGGACAACTTCTTTCCTTCAGAATTCAGTAAAACTCTGTTACAGTGTAGACAAATGGGATTAACAAAAGACTTCACGTTATAATGTGCTGATAAGAAACTACCTATTAGTTCTCTTACTGAAAGGGAAACTTGCTATGTGCCTATACCCACTCTGTCAGAAAACAGACACGTAAGTATATTATTACATGAGACAAATATGTAGTACTTGTGCATAGGCTTCTTTTTCTTTGTAAAGAAGTGATCTGTCTGGTATTATAGTTATCATTATTCAAGGTAGTTATGTTCTGTAAAGTTGCTGAATTAGCAAATACTGAACCATTATTTCTAAGAAAAACACTAAATTAGGTTTCTGCAAACCTCTGGTTACAACATTTTTGTCAACCCATCAATATATAGCCTTGTTGTATATGTGTTTTTGTTTAAAGTTATTTAGTGTTCAGTCATGCTTCAGTTAATGATGGGGATACATTCTGGGAAATGCGTCACTAGGTGATTTCGTTGTTGTGAGAATATCATAGAGTGTACTTACACAAACCTGTGGTATAGCCTATAGCCTGCTCTCCACCTAGGCTATATTTTGCTCCTGTGCTACAAACTCGTATAGCATGTTACTGTATTAAATACTGTAGGCAATTATAACACAGTGGGAACTATATGTGTAAATAAACATACCTAAACCATACCATTAAAAAGTACAGTAAAAAGGCCAGGCTCGGTGGCTCACGCCTATAATCCAGCACTTTGGGAGGTCAAGGCGGGTGGATTACCTGAGGTAAGGAATTCAAGACCAGCCTGACCAACATGATGAAACCCCATCTCTACTAAAAATACAAAAATTAGCCAGGCATGGTGGTGTGTGCCTGTAATCCCAGCTACACGGGAGGCACAAGAATCACTTGAAACCGGGTGGCGGAAGTTGCAGTGAGGTGAAGATAGTGCCACTGCACCCCAGCCTGGGCAACAGAACGAGACTGTGTCTCAAAAAAAAAATAAAAATAAAAATTTGGTAAAAACATGGTTATAAAAGATAAAAAATGCTATTATAGATTTATATAGGGAACTTACCATGAATGGAGCTTGGACTGGAAGATATTTAAGTCAGTGAGTGTGAGTGGTTAGTGACAGTCTAAAGACATTACTGCACACTACTGTAGACTTTTATAAACATTGTACACTTAGGCTACACTAAACTTAAAAAATTTTTTATTTAATAAACCTTCACTTACTGGAACTTTTTGTAAATGCCATGTTAAGGACTTTATGTAACTTTTTTACTTAAACTTTTAGATTCCTTCATAATAACACTTAGCTTAAAACACAAATAAATGGTACGGCTGTACAAAAATATTTTCTGTCTTTATATCTTTATAAACTTTTTTGTATTAAAAAAAATTTTAAGCTTCTTTTAAAATTAAAAATGAAGACACAAACATACCTATTAGCCTAGGCCTACACAGGGTTGGGGTCATTAATAGCACTGTCTTCCACCTCTACATCTTGTCCACTGGAAGGTCTTCAGAGGCAGCAACATGTAAGGAGCTGTCGTCTCTTATGACAACAGTGCCTTCTTCTGCAGTACCTCCTGAAGGACTTGCCTGAGGCTGTTTTATAGTTAACTTTTTGTTTTGTTTTGTTTTGTTTGAGACAGAGTTTCACTCTTGTTGCCCAGGCTGGAGTGCAGTGGCGCGATTTTGGCTCACTGCAGCCTCCGCCTCCCTGGTTCAAGCGATTCTCTTGCCTCAGCCTCCTGAGTAGCTGGGATTACAGGAGTGTGCCACCACGCCCGAGTAGTTCTTGTATTTTTAGTAGAGACAGGGTTTCACCATATTGGCCACACTGGTCTTGAACTCCTGACCTCAGATGATCCACCTGCTTCGGCCTCCCAAAGTGCTGGGATTATAGGTGTGAGCCACCATGCCCGGCCAACTTTGTTTTTTTTTTTTAATAAGAACAAGTAGATTCTAATAATAAAGATATGGCACTGTAAATATATAAACCAGTAACATAGTTGTTCATTATAATTATCAAGCATTATATATTACACATAATGAGATATACGTGTTACACTTTTATACAGCACAGTAGGTGTGTGTACACCAGCATTACCACAAACGTGAGTGATGTTTTGCATTATTATTACTAGGAATTTTTCAACTCCACTATAATTTTATCGGACTACTGTTCATATGTGGTCCATCATTGACTGAAAGTTGATTATCTGGCACCTGACTGTATATTGTTGATCCATATAATTTGAACTCATAGTGAACAGCACTATAACTCACACACTGCCCTTTTCAAAAGTGGAACAGGCTCTCTTTGTCCAAGGTACATAGGTTCTTATTAAAGGAAAACAAATAAGCAAGAATTATAGCCTGCCATAGTATGTAGGAAATCTTTTGATATTTCTGTAGCTTTAACTTTTTTTAAAAAAATCAAATTTACAGTATCAGGGAATGTTACTGGGATTAACAATCTCTAGTCTCTCATTAGAGTCCTATCTTTAGTAAATACGTTTGTTTTCTTTTCTTTTCTCTTTACTTTTCTTTTTTTTTGAGACAGGATCTCACTTTAATGCCCAGGATGGAGTGCAGTGGCACAATCTTGGCTCATTGCAGCCTCCACCTCCCAGGCTGAAGCGATTCTTCCACCTCAGCCTCCTGACCAAGTGGGACTATAGGCGCACACCATGCCCGGCTAATTTTTGTATGTTTTTTGTAGAGACAGGGTTTTGCCATGTTGAACAGACTGGTCTGAAATTCCTGGGCTCAAAAGAATCCACCTGCCTCAGCCTCCCAAAATGCTGGGATTACAGGTGTGAGCCACCGTGCTCTTCCCGAATATGTATCTTAATATGCATTTCTTAAAGAATTTAGTAACCAAACTGAAGTCTTTCCATGAGAATATTGTATTTGTATAACAGTAAATTATATCATCCAATGAGATGTCTATATTAAGAATAAATTTTGCTGGGCACGGTGGCTCACTCCTGTAATCCCAGCACTTTGGGAGGCTGAGGTGGGCAAATAATGAGGTCAGGAGATTGAGACCATCCTGGCCAACACAGTGAAACCCCGTCTTTACTGAAAATACAAAAAAATTAGCCGGGCGTGGTGGTGGGCGCCTGTAGTCCCAGCTACTCGGGTGACTGAGGCAGGAGAATGGCGTGAACCAAGGAGGCGGAGCTTGCAGTGAGCCAAGATTGCGCCGCTGCACTGCAGCCTGGGTGACAGAGCAAGACTCCGTCTCAAAAAAAAAAGAGCTCAGGTAACCTCTAAAAATCTTTGTTTTAGACATCACCTCCCTAATTTAGCCAAAGTGTGGTGGTTTTAATTTGGCTACTAAGTAGTCCTTGGGAGGGACATAATGCAAAAATTGAGAAATTATCAGAAGCAGAATTTAGAGTTGAAGAATTACGATTCTCTTATTTTCTTATTTGCAGATGTTTTTGTATGGAAAATGGGGGAAAAAACAATTAAAAAAAGAAAAAATAAAGTTGGTTTATTCCAGCAAGCATTATTATGAAATTTTAATTGCTTATATGAGACATTCAGCAAATATTTATAGAAGTAAATGATATTTAGAATGAAAAGTCAGAAATAATATTCTAGCATTCCAGTGATTTTGGTTTTTAATTAATAATTTGTATTTGATTTTAGGGTGGATCTATTTTATTAATAACAGGTCCTCCTGGATGTGGAAAGACAACGACCATAAAAGTACTATCAAAGGAGCATGGTATTCAAGTACAGGAGTGGATTAATCCAGTTTTACCAGATTTCCAAAAAGATGATTTCAGGGAGATATTTAATACTGGTAAGATTGGCTGTGAAGGTAGTGGAAGTAGTGGGAAAAACCCATGCTTAAGGGAGCTTTCAGATAAACTTCTATGAGTGCATTTTTTCCTGTACTTCCCACTTTCAGAGGGATGGAATTTCACAGGCCAGGTGCGATGGCTTTCACATGGGCGGCTGAGGCAGGAGGATTGCTTCAGGCCAGGAGTTAAAGACCAGGCTGGGCCGGGCGCGGTGGCTCAAGCCTGTAATCCCAGCACTTTGGGAGGCCGAGACGGGCGGATCACGAGGTAGGAGAGATCGAGACATCCTGGCTAACACAGTGAAACCCCGTCTCTACTAAAAAATACAAAAAACTAGCCGGGCAAGGTGGCGGGCGCCTGTAGTCCCAGCTACTCGGGAGGCTGAGGCAGGAGAATGGCGCAAACCCGGGAGGCGGAGCTTGCAGGTGGCTGAGATCCGGCCACTGCAGTCCAACCTGGGGGAGCAGAGCGAGATCCGTCTCAAAAAAAAAAAAAAAAAAAAAAAAAGACCCCGGCTGGGCAACATACAAAGGCCTGTCTCCAAAAAATAAAAAAATTAACTAGTTATAGTGTTGTGCACCTGTAGTTCTAACTACTGAAGGGCTGAGGTGGGAGGTGGGAGGATCAGTTGAGCCTATGAGTTCAGGGTTGCAGTGAGCTATAATTGTGCCATTGTGCTCCAGCCTGGGCAACAGAGTGAGACACTGTCCCAAAAAATAAATAAATAAAAGTTATTTCAGGAGAAGGAAAGAAAGCATGTCTCCAGTGGAAGAGAATGGAATTTTTTGAAGATTAAGTCTTAACTGTTTTGTTAACATGTTCCGTTTGCATTATTTATCTACTTTTTACTAAGATCTGGCTAGGAGGTTAGACAGTATTAACTAAGGTATTTTATTTGTTAAATCAAGCCTTAAGATGTGTTAAAAAGAACTTGCCTCCCAAGAAGATAGCTTAGATCAGTAAATACCTGTTAGAACAATATCAAATGAAAGCAAAAGAACAGAGATGTCTTTGGAATTTGGAAGGAGGCCTTAAGATAACGATTTAAAAATTGATAATAGTAACAATCTTATTTATTTATTTATTTATTTATTTATTTATTGAGACAGAGTCTCACTCTGTCACCCAGTCTGAAGTGCAACCTCTACCTCCCAGACTCAAGCTGTTCTCATACCTTAGCCTCCTGAGTAGCTGGGATTACAGGCCACCGCAACCAGATAATTTTTGTATTTTTAGTAGAGATGGGGTTTTTGCCATGTTAGCCAGGCTGGTCTCGAACTCCTGACCTCAAGCAATCCACCCGCCTCTACCTCCCAAAGTGCTGAGATTGTAGGCGTGAGCCACCATGCCTGGCAATAGTACCAGTTTAAAGATGTAATACGTTATAAGTTCATGCATATGCTTATGTACTTTAGCACTATCATTTTATCTTTCATAGTTTTTCATATTGCAACTCTAGGTGGTGAAACTAGGGACAGCCAGCTCTCCTAGGCCATTTTGAAGGGAAAGGTTTCTGTAGAAGGATAATTTTTTTTTTTTTTGAGATGGAGTCTTGCTCTGTTGCCAGGCTGGAGTGCAGTGGCGCGATCTTGGCTCACTGCAACCTCTGCCTCCCGGGTTCAGGAAACGTTCTCCACTGCCTCAGGCCTGCCAGTAGCCTGGGGACTGCAGGACCACCAGACACCAGAATTTTTTTTGCGTACTGTTTAGCCAGGGAGAGTTAGGGTTTCGCACCATGTTGGCGAGAACTGGTCTCGAGTCTCTTGACGCTCGTGATCCGCCCACCTTGGCTGCCAAAGTGTGTGCGGATTACAGGCATGTGAGCCGCACCGGCGCCAGGCCGCGGGCCAACTCTGTGGAAGTGATTAATTTTGTATGTTTTAATGGGGGAGTGGGTTCCTCAAAATCGCGCTGGGTGTGGGAACTCTTTAATTGCCCACTCGCCGCTTGTGCTACTTTGATTCCCGTCCTGCTGGTGCTGGTTGCTTGTTTTCTTGTTTTAATTTTATTATTATTATTTTTTTTTTTTTTTTTGGAGACGGAGTCTCGCTCTGTCACCCAGGCTGGAGTTGCAGGTGGCCGCGATCTCGGCTCACTGCACCTCCGCCTCGCGGGTTCACGCATTCTTCCTGCCTCAGCCTCCCTTTGGAGTAGCCTGGTTGATTACAGGCGGGGCCTGCACCTCGCCCGGCTACGTTTTTGTTTTGTAGTTAGGACGGCGGCTTTGCGGTGCTTGCCAGGATGTGGCTCGATCTTCGGTGACGGTTCGTGGCATCCGCCGTTCGGGCCTCCAAAGTGCTGGGATTACAGGCTTGGCCAGCCGCCGGCGCCGGGACCTTTTTTCTTAGTCATTTATTTATTTATTATTATTGATTAATTTTGAGGGACAAGTCTTACGTCTGTCACCAGGCGCTGGAGGGTGCGTGCATTTGGGCTCGACTGCAAGCGTCCACGTCCTGGGTTCAGGCTCGAACTTCTCCTGGCGCCTCGCCATCCCAGCTAGCTGCGGATTCACGCGCGCGCACCACTTGCATGCGCCGCGCGGTGGTATTTGTGTTGTGTGTGTATGTGCCTCTCTTTAGACTACGAGATGGGGCTAGTGACTCACCATGTGGGTTGCGAGTTGCTGTTTTCGCAACCCGCCTCGACGTCAGGTGATCCAACTGCCTCGGCCTCCCAAAGTGCTGGAATTACAGGCGTGAGCCACCACACCCGGCCCATTATTATTATTATTTTTTTAAGAGACAAAGTCTTACTATGTTGTCCAGAATGAACTTGAACTTCTTAAGCGCTTAAGGGATTCTCATGACCCAGCCTCTGGAGTAGCTGGGACTACAGACGTGTGTTCCTGCACCTGGCTTTTACTGCTTTCTAAATAGTAGCATTACTTTTGACAGTCTGATAAGCCTTAATTTAAACAGTCTTCCATATGAAACATGCCTTCAGAGAGCTTCCCTCATTCTCAAGTTCACTAATCAGTCATTCTGTTTTTGTTGTTAAACCTTTATCACTCCAGTCTGGCCAACATGGTGAAACCCTGTCTCTACTAAAAATTCAATAATTAGCCAGGCATGGCAATGCGTTCCTGTAATCCCAGCTACTCAGGAGGCTGAGGCAGGAGAATCGCTTGAACCTGGGAGGCGGAGGTTGCAGTGACCCAAGATTGTGCCACTGCACTTCAGTCTGGGCGACAGAGTGAGATTCTGTCTCAAACAAACAAACAAACCAAACCAAACCCTTATCACTGAAGGTAATTCATTAATAGGCTTGAACTCCTTTAGAGATTCTTCATTGGGTAGGCCAAAGTCATAAATATTTTTACCAATTGTATGAATGTTATGCTGACGGCTGTGTTAGGTCAGTTAACTCCATATTACACAGGGTCTCACTCTGTCACCCAGGCTGGACACAATCTCGGCTCACTGCAACCTCTACCTCCTGGGCTCAAGCTTTCCCCCCGCCTCAGCCCCACAAGTAGCTGGGACTACAGGCACAAGCCTCCATGCCTGGCTGATTTTTGTATTTTTTTGTAGAGACTGGGTTTCACTATGTTGCCCAGGCTGCTCTTGCATTCCTGAGGTCAAGCGATCCACCCGCCTCAGCCTCCCAAAGTGCTGGGATTACAGGCGTGAGCCACTGCACCTGGCTACATGTTGACTCTTGTCTTTTGAAAGGAATATCCTATTTTAAATTTAAATGATTTTTCCTAATTAGGAAACAGTCTACAGTATTGTGAGATGCATCAGATGTGTGTGTGTGTGCATACAGTTGTTTAATATTAATGTATATAATTTGTTGAAAATAAAAGTGGTTATGTGTTTCCTTTCAGAATCAAGCTTCCATATGTTTCCCTATCAGTCTCAGATAGCAGTTTTCAAAGAGTTTCTACTAAGAGCAACAAAGTATAACAAGTTACAAATGCTTGGAGATGATCTGAGAACTGATAAGAAGATAATTCTGGTTGAAGTAAGTACAAATTTTAAAATCTTTTTTTTATTTTATTTTATTTTTTATTTGAGACGGAGTCTTGCTCTGTCAGTGTCACCCAGGCTGGAGTGCAGTGGCGCAATCTTGGCTCACTGCAAGCTCCACCTCCCAGGTTTACGCCATTCTCCTGCCTCAGCCTCCCCATTAGCTGGGACTACAGGCGCCCGCCACCATGCCCAGCTAATTTTTTCTATTTTTTAGTAGAGACGGGTTTCACCATGTTAGCTAGGATGATGTCGATCTCCTGACACCTCATGATCTGCCCGCCATGGCCTCCCAAAGCGCTGGGATTATAGGCGTGAGCCATTGTGCTTGGCCTAAAATCTTTTTTTTTTTTTTTTTGAGACAGTCTTGCTTTAACCCCTAGGTTGGAGTGCGGTGGTGCAGTCTTGGCTCACTACAACCTCCGCCTCCTGGGTTGAAACAATTCTCATGCCTCAGCCTCCCCGAGTAGCTGGGATTACAGGAACCTGCCACCATGCCGGCCTAATTTTTGTATATTTAGTAGAGATGGAGTTTTGCCATGTTGGCCAGGCTGGTCGCGAACTCCTGACCTCAAGGTAATCTGCCTGCCTTGGCCTCCCGAGTGCTGGGATTACACATGTGAGCCACTGCACCCAGCCAACTTTTAAAATCTTGCTGTAGGTATTGACTGAACAATTGTGAGATATATCTTACATGATAATGTTAATTGTCTCTATAGTAGTGATATTGATAAAATACAACACAAAGGCTTTGTAATAGAAACCTAAAGTCTTTTTTAGTAAACTTGAATGGAATAGCTGTAGGATGATAAGGAACGTTAAAATTTTAATGGTTTAAGTATAGAAAAACAAAAGAAAAGTTTGGAAAATTACTTCCTAGTGAAAATACTGTAACTGGAAAGTAACCGTAAGAAATTTGGTCTAAAAATTGGGATCCCCTTTGATGTATATTACACAGGGTCTCACTCTGTCACCCAGGCTGGACACAATCTCAGCTCACTGCAACCTCTACCTCTTGGGCTCAAGCTATTCCCCCCGCCTCAGCCCCGCAAGTAGCTGGGACTACAGGCACAAGCCTCCACGTCTGGCTAATGTTTGTATTTTTTTGTAGAGACCGGGTTTCACCATGTTGCCCAGGCTGCTCTTGCATTCCTGAGGGTATCATTCCTGGGGTATCATCTATTTCATGTTTCCCTTCGCTTCTATGAAAGTTCTGTTTAAAATACATTGAATAAATATTTTTTTGCCTATCTCAATAAATATGAATCTGAAAAATAAATTTGCAATGGAATAAAACTATACTATTATTTATTTTTTATTTTCAATAGGATTTACCTAACCAGTTTTATCGGGATTCTCATACTTTACATGAAGTTCTAAGGTAGGTTTCAGTGAAGTATTCTAAAACTCCAAATTAAATGAGAAGTGGCTTAAATTTCAACATTGCTGTATTTTGTTATTTTAGGAAGTATGTGAGGATTGGTCGATGTCCTCTTATATTTGTAATCTCGGACAGTCTCAGTGGAGATAATAATCAAAGGTTATTGTTTCCCAAAGAAATTCAGGAAGAGTGTTCTATCTCAAATATTAGGTAAGAAAGAAATTTTTGCTTATAAAGGTCACATACGTATTATATTTTTAAATTAATCATTTAACTGCTGTCTTTCTTTATAAAACTTTTAGTTTCAACCCTGTGGCACCAACAATTATGATGAAATTTCTTAATCGAATAGTGACTATAGAAGCTAACAAGGTAAGTCTCTGATTAATTAAACCTCACTTGATAACTATAGAAAGCCCAGCTTAAATAGTGTTATGTAAACTGAAGGAGTTGGAAACATGTATTATTTTAATTTTTTAGAATTAAAGCATTTTATTATATTCATAAGGCATACATGTCATTTTAGCAAATGTAGGAAATACTGATTTTCAAAATCTTTAATATTTTTCTATTAAACTTTCAGTTTCACATTGAGGTAAATTTTTCTTTTGCTTGGTTTACTGTTCTAAATTGTGTCTATCATCAAGAAAATGTTTTCTGGCATGTAGGTGTGGTAGTTATCAACAATTCAACTCTTCCTGTTATCCTATTGTCACTTTTTAATTTTGACATTTTTTTAAATTGTAGTGAAAAACATGTATCATAAAATTTATCAACTTAACCATTTCCAAAGATACAGTTCAGTAAAGTATATTTACATTCATATACAGCTGTTGTCACTTTTTTTTTTTTTTTGAGACAAGGTCTCACTCTTTTGCTCAGGCTGGACTATAGTGGCATAATCATTGCTCACTGCAGCCTCGACCTCTTGGGCTCAAGTGTTCCTCCCACCTCAACCTCACAAGCAGCTGGGACTGCAGGCTGGTACCACCATGCCTGGCTAATTTTTTAATTTTTTTTTAGAGACAGGGTCTCCCTGTATTGCCCAGGCTAGTCTTGAATTCGTGGCTCAAGTGATCCTCCCTCCTCAGCCTCTGAAAGTGCTGAGATTTCAGGCATGAGCCCATGTGCCCGGCCTTGTTTCACTTTTAGTACGTCATTTTTTTCTATATCTCAAATCAAGATGATGTTAAAAAAAAACTGATGGACCTTCTGCTCTCAGCATCATGGTTCTAGGGAATCCTACTGGTATAAATCAACCAAATCTTGCATGAAACATAATTTTTGTTGCACTGCTAGGACCACAGGAACTGAGGGAAGTCTCCAAGGGAGAGGTTGTTTTGAGGATTAAACACGTTAGTGTAGAGCACCTAACTGAATAACAGATTTTAATAGTGAAAAATGAGAAACAAACTGAGTCCTGTAATACAGGAAGCAATTACTGTGATGAATTATTATGCCATTAGTGTTTTGAAAATATTTAATGGGTCAGGTGCAGTGGCTCACGCCTGTAATCCTAGCACTTTGGGAGGCCGAGGTGGTTTCACTGTCTTAAGCCAGGATGGCTTGCGATCTCTAACCTCAAGACGCCCTCCTCGGCCCCGCCAAAGGCTGGGATTATAGGCATGGGCCACGTCCCGGCCTGAAATTATTTTTTATAATTATTTATGAGACATGTTTAGTAAATTTATTTCCTGTTAATATTGAAACATGTAAATTTATGAGATATGTTTAATAAATTTCCTGTTAATATGTAAAAAGATGTAGTAAAAAGATAGTTCACTAATGGCAGTGAGTTACATTTTACTGTAATGATCATAGGTTTACTGCATAGTGCCTCCTTCAGAAGACATTTAGCAGACTACTTACTTAATGCTTAACATTGACAAATTGACATTAAGAGTGGGCAAGAACTATGTTAGCAATTATGTTTTTTTCATTTAATTCTCATATCAAACTAATGAGATAGACAGTACTTTGATTCAAATCCCAGATCCCTGTGCCTTTCTGCTGTTCGAGGTAGCTTTTAAGTCATGCAACTCTGAGTTCTAAATAGTAGACTTAAAAATGAAACTTGGGGCAAGCATGGTGACTCATGCCTGAACCAAGGTGGGTGGATCACTTGAGCCTAGGCAGTTTTGAAACAAGCCCCGGGCAACATAACAAGACCTTGTCTCTACAAAAAAATTAAGAAAAAATATTAAAAACCCGAGAAATTTGGATCACATGCGGCTATTCATAAATTGGATACTCTCAACATCAGTAGAGAGGTTGTTAAAACATAACACTGCAGAACCAGACTGCCCTGGATCCAGTCATTCACTCACTGATGACCTTGAGCCAATTAACTGTCACCGTCTTTGTATCTCATTTCATTAACTGTCAATAATAATTGGTCAGGTGCAGTGGCTCTCACCTGGTATCCCAACACTATAGGAGACTGAGGTAGAAGGAAGCTTCAACCCAAGAGTCTGATACCAGGCCCAACATAGCGAGACCCTCATCTCTAATTATAAAAATATATATATTAGCCAGCATAGTGGTGCATACCTGTAGTCCCGGATATTGAGAGAGCTGAGGTGGGAGGATCACTTGAGCCTGAAGGTTGAGGCTTCAGTGAGCTATGATTGCGCCACTGTACTCCAGACTGGGTGATAGAGCCAGACCCTGTGTCAAAAAAAAAAAAGGCCAGGATGGTGTGGGTCACGCCTGTAATCCCAGCACTTGGGAGGCTAAGTCGGGTGGTTGGGAGGTCGTGACCAGCCTGGCCAACATGGTGAAACTCCATCTCTGCTGAAAAATACAAAAATTTAGCCGGGCATATGCCTGTAATCCAGCTGCTTGGGAGCTGAAGCAGGAGAATTGTTGAACCCGAGGAGGCAGAGGGTGTGTTGAGCCGAGATGGCACCACTGCACTCCAGCTGGGCAACAGAGTGAGACTCCATCCAAAA